TCTTTATTGCCCTGTCAGCAACTAGAGGGCAGGTTTCTGATCAAGCTGCAGTGGAGAATAGTGAGCTCACCAACCTTGCTAATGTCTGGCAAGGGTGAATGAGTCACAAGACTGGTTCAACAGAATTTAAAATCTCTTTGAAGTTTTAAACCCTAGACCAAAATGAGAACTTAACCCTTGCAGTGCAGGGGTAGCTCCATTGCAAGGGTTAGGCTGTTAACTGCCTGGAATTCTTCTTTAAGAAAAACTTACAAGTATGTATGTTGCTGTTTGTCTGCAGTTAAGCTTTAATCCACAGTATTGTGCTGCCCTTATTATATTAAACCATACACATTCAGTTCTTCAGCTACAAATACAACAGTTACAACTTTTTAAGAATTCCAAAGAAACACAATAAAAGTTGCATGATCATGATGTAAATGTTTTTTGTGTTAATCTGAGTTCATCAAAAGCCATGCAAGGTAATTTAAGGATTTTATATTCAATTGTCAATTACTTTCAATTTGTTTTAACAGAGGAATGTGATCAGCTCTGTGTCGGCAATTTGACATTACCATTTGTCACTGTTCTTAAGAAAAATAATCGAACACAAGCATTTGCAGGAGAAAATTACAGTAATGAAAAGAGCTAGTAAATCTCTGCTGATATTCTTGACAGTTTCTTGTATTATTTCTATTGCTACCCTTTAAAAACCTTTAATATTCTAGATACATCATAACGTCATCATCATCAAGTGAAGAAAGCATGCAGATCTGAAGGCATTGCCGGATGCTGTTCTCTTTGCTTTCCTCACTGAGACACTATTTTTTTCACTGACTGTCTACCAGCTATTGTTCCCAGGAATTTGACAAATTTTAGAAATTAACATACTGAAAAAGCTCCATCTCTCAACCATGCTCTTGAATATTTAATCAAGCAGCAATGAAGACATTGAGATTTACTTACACCTGTCAAGTAATTTCTACTGCTCCTTTGATAACTTATTGATACCTTTTCTATCTACTAAAATCTGCTCACCTGCTGTGAAACCACCTATAAAGCTCACTATGGTCCCATAAAACTGTTTGTTTTACTTATAGAAGTTTCAAAACACCTTGTTTAATAAGATAAAATATAAGTTTGCTCTACTTCTTTTAACAAGAATGGTCTAAATAAACTAAATGTAGGCTGTTGCTTTGTTCTTCAACAACCTGTTGTGGACTGAAACATAGCTCACTATTTTCTATGAAGTAGATAAATAATGTCCATAAGTAGTAGCTGAAAATAGATTTTAGAAACTGATTAATAAATTTAGCATATGTGGGTTTTTAATTTATTTAGAGGGTTATTCACAAAGCTAGCCGAAGGATCAGCTGTAGCTCCAGCTGATCCTTTGGCTAGCTTCGACTGCCTGAGCCCTTTGGTTCAGTAGAACCGAAGGGATGCTGTACAGCTCCAGAAGCTGGCTGGGCAGCTCAGTCGAGCGAAGGCATATGCTTCGGCATGGCTGGCTCTGGCCAGTTGCAATGACAGACATGTCATTGCAACTGGCGGAGGCAGCCGTGAGATCACAGCGGGCTCCGCCAAGTTGTTATTCATTGGCCGGGACCTGCTAGAAGACTCTAGCAGTTCCCGGTCAATAGGAAACAGTTGGGCGGAGCTAGGTGTCACTGCTAGCTCCGCCCAATTGTTTCCTTTTTTTAAATTTTTCAGTGATCTTTATTTTTGTTGTTTCATCTTTTAATGATCTCTATTTATTTTTTTTAATTATCTTTTTTTGCTTTTTTATTCAATTATATTTTTTTAAACTGTTTTTAAAAATCTTTATTTATTTTTTAAGATCTATCATTTATTGAACTTTTTAAACTTTTTTTTGCTACTTTCTTTGTCTACATTTTTTTCAGTTTTACTATTTTGCTCGGTACCACGGTGGTACCGAGCAGAGTGGCCGAGCCAAATGCCGCCGATCGGTAGTCGGCTATTAACTCACTGCCGTTTGGCCCCTATGAGAATAGGCTGAACGGCAGCGAGAAGCCTGCCGGAGGTTCGGCTCAGCCAATACAGATGCTGGATCGGCTGAGTCAAACTACTTCAGCGCTTCAGCTCAGCCGAACATGCTGAGCATGTTCAGCTGAACCGAAGCTAGCTGAAGCCAGCCAATGTACAGCTGATTTCAGCCGTTGTACATCTGAAATCAGCCCTACAAGCTTGAAGTGAATAGCCGAACAGCGATCGGCTCACTACACTTTGGGTCGGGTGTTCTCTCGGCTGCCTACGTCAGCTTTGTGAATAACCCTCTTAATTTCTATCCTGGTATGGCTATTGACTTATTAAACACAATTTTAAAAACTTTTCAAAATTTCAAGGACCCTGCAAGTACAGACATATACCTGATTATCTGCCAGAAATGCCCTCAGCTCTTAATTACCTGTTATGAGCTGACAACAAATCATTTTTTTGAGCGATGTCAGCCCTGTCCTGTTTCCTCTGCTAAACTACTCAGACCTACCCCAATGCTGTTCTTCACAACATAGAGACAATCATTATGTAGTGCAAATTAATGAATAGTGAGGGTGAATTACTCTTTTTTTCTTCCCTTTTTCATTATTCTGGATACACTGGGGATACCTCTGCACTGTGCAAATACTGAATAATAACTCAGCAATTGTAGGAATAAGTCAACTTCTTCATTGCAACTTTGCATTGTTTATCATTTTGGCCCTTTGTTCTCCAAGATTACATTGTTTACTGTATTGTGCAACTTGTCTTTTCTGTATTATTTGTTTTTTTCTCACATTAAACTCTTAATACATTTTAATCTTTAAAAAAGAATTGTGCCCAAGACACAGGACAACTCTTAATTTGTGACATGTTCGGTCGGTATTTTTTTGTAAACTTATTGAAAAAACATAACAAAATACTTTTAATGGGATATTTAACAGATCAAAAGAGAGCAAATAAAAAAAGTTTATTTTGGGCTTTACATACACTTTATTATATATGCATACACCTATATTGCAGCTCAATGCCCCATCCCGCAGTTGATTGGGCATTTGGATCATGGCACTTCCTTGTTTAGGGGAGCTCAAGGGTTCAGACAAGATTTGATCAGAACCTGAGCTCTACCCTATGTACTTCCAAAGTGATAATGGCTTTAGATAAAGTACATCCAATAGAAGGCTATTTTACTTTTATGTCTAAAAGCTGCAAATTATAGCTGAAGAAGATCTTCAAATGCTGGTTTGTCAGTTGATATCACCTAGTACTGAAAGGAAAATAGCATTGTAGCTGGCTAATGTAGCCTTCTGGAAAATCCTGTCAGACTATTGCCTGGGCAGCCCTACTTTTTCCCAGATTACATTAAAGCACAGCTTTTTTATGTGGATGTGTTAGAACTTCTGTCTCCATTTGTGATATTTCTGTCTAATTGGCAAGAACAGAACCGGAAGTAAAGAAAATCTCCTAATGGGACAGCAATTAAAAAATAT